CCTCAAAATGGAGAAACCTCCTCAATGCACAGAGACCCCTCCCCAAAATAGAGGACCACCCCTGAAATGGAGACCCCTCTCCAATTCACCGAGACCCCCCGGGGGGTCCCCAATACCCCGGAGACCCCTCCCCAGAATGGAGACCCCTCCTCAAATAAAGACCCCTCCCCAAATTCCTCCTGTCAATCGCCGAGCTCAACCAGAGCCCAAAAACCCCAAAAATGGGGGGGGTGGGCACAGGGATTTTGGGGGGATTTGGGGGGTTTGGGGGGAATTTGGGGTTTTTTGGGAGGAGGTATCCAGATTTTTTTTTTTTTTTGGCGGGAATTTGGGTTTTTTTTTTGGCGGGAATTTGGGGTTTTTTTGAGTTTTTTTGGGTTGTTTCGCTGTTTTTCCGTCTCCCCCCTTTCCCTGTCCCGGGTGAGTCACGGGAGGGTTTTGGGGGGGGGTGTCCGGGGTTTTGGGGGGGAATTTTGAATTTTTGGTGGTTTTTTTTGGCGGGAATGGGGTTTGGGGGGGGGGGGGGTGTCCCTTTTTTTTTTGGCGGGAGTTTGGATTTTTTTGGAGTTTTTTTGGAGGAATTTGGGGTTTTTTGGGGTTTTTTTTTTGGGGTTGTTTCGCTGTTTTTCCCTTTCCCTGTCCCGGGTGAGTCACGGGAGGATTTTGGGGGGGCCGGGGGGGGCCCCGCCCCGCGAGAGGCCCCTGGAGGGGGGGGGAGGGGAGGGTTCGGCCCCTCCCCCACCCGCTCCCTGTTTGTTTCCCAAAATAAACCCGGCGGCGGCGCCGATTCCCGGGAATTTCCCTGACGTCATTGGGGGCGTGGTTTGGCCGCTGGCCACGCCCCCGGAGCGGCCACACCCACGGTGGGGGGAGGGGAGGGCGCCACGGCGTGGCTTTGCCCGCCCTGGAAAAAGGGCGCGGCGCCTTTGAGGCGTGGCCACGCCCCCGCTGCGTTCCTATTGGCTGGCGTGGTTTGCTCTGCTGTCAATCAGCGCGGGGCGGGGTGGGCTGTCAGTCAAAGCGCGCCTGGCCAATCAGGGTGGGGTGGGGGCGGGGGCCAAACGGAGGGGGCGGGGTTGGGGTTCATTCATGAATTGCGGCGGCGGCGGGAAACGGGGCAAGGGCGGGAGCGCCCAAAACCAGCGGGAACCCCAAGAACGCCCCCAGACCCACCGGGACCTCCCCAGGAGCACCCCCAGACCCACCGGGACCCCCAAGAGCACCCCCAGACCCACCGGGAGCCCCTGGAACCCACAGAGACCCCTCTGAGGACACCCCCAAACCCCCCTGAACCTCTAAGAACACCCCCAGACCCACTGGGATCCCCCCGAGACCCTCAGAACACCCCAGGACCCCCCCCCAAAAAGCCCCGGGAACCCCCCGAGACCCCCTCCATGCCCACCGGGACCCCCTGGCACTCATCAAGACCCCTCTGAGAGCACCCCAGACCCACCAGGACCCCCCAAAACCTCCCCAAGGACACCGGGACCCCCTCAAGACCCCCCCAGGACCCTGAGGACCCCCAAGAACCCCCTGAAAACACCGAGATCGCCCCAATGGGGGACGTCAGGAGCCCCTTGGGGACCCTTTACCCAGCCCCCTCCTCAAATATCCCCTCCAGGAGCTCCCCAATCCCTTCTGCGACCCCCCAAGATCAAACACGGCTCCGTGGGGGTGGGCAGGATATAAAAAATTCATTTTATTATTTATTGGGGGGGCTGAGACAGCCCAGACACCCCCAAATCGTGGTGGGGCTCAAAGAGGGGGTTCAGGGGTCGTTATTGGGGGGATTTTGGGGTGTTCAGAGGTCGTTCCTGGGGATTGTGGGGCTGAGATCAGCCTGGACACCCCCAAATCCTTATGGAGGTCATTGAGGAGGGGTCAGGCCTCATTCCCAGGGGGTTTTGGGGCTGAGATCAGCCAGGGCACCCCCAAATCCTTGTGGGGCTCATTGAGGGGGGTTCGGGGCTCGGTTTTGGGGCGTTTTGGGGCTGTTCTCAGCCCAGACTCCCCCAGTTTCCCCCATAGAGGCTTCAGGGCTCGTTCCCCAGGGTTTTTCGGGGGTTCAGGGCTCGTTTTTGGGCTTCATCCTCGGCCCTTCTTGGCTCTGTCCTTGTCCTTGCCGCCCTTGGGCGCCGTGACCAGCGCCAGCTTCTTGGGCAGCGCTCCCTGCGCCCTCTGCACGGTCTCCTGCTCGATCCGCATCCGGATCCCGACCTCCAGGCGCTGCCGAACATTCCAGAAGGGTCAGGGGGGGACACGGGGAGAGACCCCCGCCCCAAAAAAAAAAAAACCCTCAGGGACCCCTCCTCACCTTCTTCAGCTTCTGCTGCTGGATCACGCGGAGCTTCTTGGGGGCGATGGTGCGGCCTGAGGGGAGAGAGGCGGGGTGAGACCCCTCAGGGCATCACCGGGACCCCCCCAGGGCTTCACCGGGACCCCCCTCCCCGCCCAACCGGGGCCTCCCTCACGGCCGCAGCGCCTCAGGCCTGGTCCTGCCTCCATCTTGGGGACCCCCGGACCGGCCTGGGCCGCGTTCCCCGGGGTTTCGGGAGCCTCCGCACCTCCTTTCCGCGGGCCCCGAGAGCTCCGCGCCGCCGCCGCCGCCGCCGCTTTGGGGCGCTTGGCCGCGGCCTTGGGGCGGCCCTGCGCCATGGCGGCCGTGAGGGAGCGCGGGGCATGATGGGATACACCGGGGCGGAAGTGCCGCAAAGGGTGATGGGATATAGCGGTGCGGAAACGCCGCAAAGGATCTCGGGGTATAGCGAGGAACCGCTGCAAAGGATGTCGGGATATACCGGGGCGGACATCCCGCAAAGGCTCCTGGGATGTACCGGGGCGGAAGTGCCGCAAGGGGTGTCGGGATTTATCGAGGCGTTACTGCCGCAAAGACTGCCGGGATATAGCGGGGCGGAAATGCCGCAAAGGGGGTCGGGGTATTCCGAGGCGGAAACGCCGCAAAGGGTCTCGGGGTATAGCGAGGAACTGCTGCAAAGGATGCCGGGATATACCGGGGCGAAAATGCCGCAAAGGCTCCCGGGATGTACCGGGGCAGAAATGCCGCAAAGGATGCCGGGATTTACCGGGGCATTTCTGCCCCAGGGCCCCCCCAGGCCCCCCCCCTCGCGTTCCTCTTGTCCTGGAGGATTTCCCGGAGCACCCCCCGGATGGAATTTCACCCCCTCGGATGGGATTTGCCCCCCCCGGATGGGATTTGCCCCCCAGACCGGATCCACCCCCCCCCGGTTGGGATCCGGCCCCGCTCCCGTCCGGAATTCGGGCCTGTGGCCATTAAAGAACATTTTTCCATGGATTTTGTTTTTATTTTGGGTGAAATTTGGAGTTCCCTCCTCCTTTTGAGGCTCCCCCCGTATCCCAACGCCCCCTCCCCAAATTCCAGCTCCTCCATCCCAGCCCCCTCCCCAATATCCCAACCCCTTTTGGGATCCCGAACCCTTTTCCCGCTCCTCCTCCTCCTCACCCCGGGTTTTCCCACGGATTTCGCCCTTTTGGGTGGAAATTTGGGAATTTCGGGGCCGTGGTGGCTGAGGGATTTTTATTTGTGCGTGTTCCCCCCTCACAAATGTCCCCAAATGTCCCCAATTGTTCCCACACCTCGGGAAGGTGGGAGCCGGAAAAGGAGGAAATTCAGGAAGAATGAATTCTGACCTCACCCAATTCCTGGGAAATCTGGGAATGGGGGGGGGTTCGAGGTTTTTGGGGGAACTTTGAGAAATTTTAGGAATCCCCGTGGCGCTGGTGCGGTTTTTTGGGGGAATATCCCGGGAAAAAATCAGAAAATTGGGAATTTTGATGGGACCGAGGACCCAACTGGGACAAACTGGGAGGAGCTGGGACCTTCCTGGGTGTCCATGAATCCCAAGGAACCTCTGGAATTCCGCACCTCCCTCCTCTTCCTCCTGGGGTTTTTGGGGGGGTCTCCCGGCTGTGCCCATCCCGATCCCGGTGATTTTTGGGGGGTTTTCCTGCTTTTTCCCATTTTTTCCCACTTTTCCCCAGTTTTTCCCGGTTTTTCCCAATTTTTCCCGGTTTTTCCCAGTTTTTTCCCACTTTTTCCCGCTTTATCCCAGCTTTCCCCACTTTTTCCCGATTTTCCCCAGTTTTCCCCACTTTTTCCTACTTTTCCCTGGTTTTTCCCCATTTTTCCCAGTTTCCCCCGTTTTTTCCCGCTTTTTCCCAGTTTTTCCCTGGTTTTCCCATTTCCCCCCGTTTTTCCCTTTTTTTTCCCCGATTTTTTCCGGTTTTTTCCCATTTTTTTCCCCGATTTTCCCCCAGTTTTTCCCGGTTTTTCCCGATTTTTCCCACTTTTCCCCATTTTTTTCCCGTTTTCCCCCGGGTTTTCCCGCGTTCCCCCCCGCTTTTTCCCAATTTTCCCGGTTTTTTCCGTTTTCCAGGTACAGGAGCCAATTCCGGGAATCGCTCCCGGCCCTGGGGCAGCTCCGGAGCCGCTTCCGGAGCCGCCCGGGAGGGACGGGAGGGGACAGAGGGGACAGGGAGGGACAGGAGGGGACAGGAGGGGACAGGAGGGGACAGGAGGGACAGGAGGGGACAGGAGGGACAGGGAGGGACAGGAGGGGACAGGGGGGGACAGGAGGGACAGGAGGGACAAAGGGGGACAGGAGGGGACAGGAGGGGACAGGAGGGGACAGGAGGGGACAGGGAGGGACAGGAGGGGACAGGAGGGGACAGGGGGGGACAGGAGGGGACAGGAGGGACAGGGAGGGACAGGAGGGGACAGGGGGGGACAGGAGGGACAGGGGGGGACAGGAGGGGACAGGGGGGGACAGGAGGGGACAGGAGGGACAGGAGGGACAGGGAGGGACAGGAGGGGACAAAGGGGGACAGGGGGGGACAGGGAGGGACAGGAGGGGACAGGAGGGGACAGGAGGGGACAGAGGGGACAGGAGGGGACAGGAGGGACAAAGGGGGACAGGAGGGGACAGGGACACCGAGAGGCCACAAATGGGTCTGGGGGACACAGAGGGGACACAGGAGGGGACACCCAAGGGACACAGAGGGGACAGGAGGGGACAGGAGGGACAGGGGGGGACAGGGAGGGACAGGAGGGACAAAGGGGACAGAGGGGACAGGGGGGACAGGGGGGGACAGGGGGGGACAGGAGGGACAAAGGGGACAGGGAGGGACAGGAGGGACAAAGGGGGACAGGAGGGGACAGGAGGGGACAGGAGGGACAAAGGGGGACAGGAGGGGACAGAAGGGGACAGGAGGGGACAGAGGGGACAGGGAGGGACAGGAGGGACAGGAGGGACAAAGGGGGACAGGGGGGGACAGGGAGGGACAGGAGGGGACAGGAGGGGACAGGAGGGGACAGGAGGGACAAAGGGGACAGAGGGGACAGGGAGGGACAGGAGGGGACAGGAGGGACAAAGGGGGACAGGAGGGGACAGGAGGGGACAGGAGGGACAAAGGGGGACAGGAGGGGACAGGGACACCGAGAGGCCACAAATGGGTCTGGGGGACACAGAGGGGACACAGGAGGGGACACCCAAGGGACACAGAGGGGACAGGAGGGGACAGAGGGGACAGGGACACGGAGACGCCACAATTGGGTCTGGGGGACACAGGGGACACAGAGGGGACAGGAGGGGACAGGAAGGGACAGAGGGGACAGGGAGGGACAGGGACACCGAGAGGCCCCAAATGGGTCTGGGGGACACCGAGGGGACCCCCAAAGGGACACAGGGGGGTCAGGGAGGGGCCGCAGGGGACAGAGGGGACAGGGGCAGCCGGCAGGAGGTGACAATGGCCCCGGGCCGCGTCCCGCGGGGGTGGCGGGGCTGGCACGTCCTGTTGGCTCGGAGCGAGCCGGCAGCGCCCCCGTGTCACCTCTGTCCCCACCCCCCCCCGGTGGCCCTGACACGCGCGGTCCCCGTGTCCCCTCTGTCCCAGTGTCCCCAAACTGTCCCTGTGTCCCCAAACCGTCCCGGTGTCCCCAAGCTGTCCCGGTGTCCCCAAACCGTCCTGGTGTCCCCAAACTGTCCCGGTGTCCCCAAACTGTCCCTGTGTCCCCTCTGTCCCTGTGTCCCCAAACCGTCCCCGTGTCCCCAAACTGTCCGGGTGTCCCCAAACTGTCCCTGTGTCCCCTCTGTCCCGGTGTCCCCAAACCGTCCTGGTGTCCCCAAGCTGTCCCGGTGTCCCCAAGCTGTCGGGGTGTCCCCAAACCGTCCCGGTGTCCCCAAACCGTCCCGGTGTCCCCTAGGTCCTTGGAATTCCATCCCAGTGTCCCTGTCCTGTCCCCCCATCCCTGTCCCCAATCCCCCAATGTCCCCAATGTCCTCAATGTCCCCAATGTCCCCAATGTCCCCATGGTGTCTCCAATGTCCTAAATGTCCCCAATGGTGTCCCCAGTGTCCCCAATATCCCCCGTGTCCCCAATGTCCTCAATGTCCCCCCAATGTGCCCAGTGTCCCCAATGACCCCAATGTCCCCAATGTCCCCAATGTCCCCAGTGTCCCCAATGACCCCAATGACCCCAATGTCCCCAATGTCCCCAGTGTCACCCTGGGGACATCGGGGATGGCTGTCCTGGGGCTGGGGACACCCTGGGGACACCGTGGGGACATCGGGGATGGCTGTCCTGGGGCTGGGGACACCCTGGGGACATCAGGGACGTTCCCACGGTTCCCGGGGTGACACAGAAATCCCCCGGTGACAAAAAGCGACAGAAGAGAGGAAGTGGCGGCCCTGGTGACACCGGCACCCAATGGTGGCCTCGGGAGCCACCCCCGCGGGGGACAGGGGGGGACGGGGGGGGACAGGGGGGGACAGGAGGGGACGGGGGGGGACAGGGGGGGACAGGAGGTGATGGGGGGGACAGGGGTGACAGGGGGTGACAGGGGGGGACAGGGGGGGACAGGGGGGGGCAGGAGGTGGCAGGCGGGTGACCGGCGGGTGACAGGCGGGTGACAGCCCCGTCACGAGCTGGGGGTGGCGCTTCAGGGCTTGGGGACGCGAAGCTGAGACGGCACCGCCGGGTTTGGGGACACCAGGGTGACGAGGAGGGGACAAGGGGGACGTGACAGGAGGGAAAGAGGGACAGGGAAATTGTCCCACACTGGGACAAGGGACAGGGAAATTGTCCCGTTCCAGGACAGGAGAATTGTCCCACACTGGGACAAGGAAATTGTCCCATCCTGAGAGAGGAAAATTGTCCCAAGTCGGGACAGGGGACAGGAATTGCCCCGGCTGAGAGAGGAATTGCCCCGGGGGGGGCAGGAATTGCCCCGGGGGGCACAGGAATTGCCCCATCCCGGGACAGGGGCACAGGAATTGCCCCGAGGGGCACAGGAATTGCCCCGGGGGGGGGGCAGGGGCACAGGAATTGCCCCGAGGGGTGGGACAGGGGCACAGGAATTGCCCCATCCCGGGACAGGGGCACAGGAATTGCCCCGGGGGGGGGGCAGGGGCACAGGAATTGCCCCGGGGGTGGGACAGGGGCACAGGAATTGCCCCATCCCGGGACAGGGGCACAGGAATTGCCCCGGGGTGCACAGGAATTGCCCCGGGGGGGGGGCAGGGGCACAGGAATTGCCCCGGGGGGTGGGACAGGGGCACAGGAATTGCCCCGGGGGGCACAGGAATTGCCCCGGGGGGGGGCAGAGGCCGGAGCCCGC